AAAGATTTAACTACATTAGGAGCCTGTGCAAAGAAACTGTGCTTTTACCTATACCAGTACCACACCAGTGTACCAACCTAGTTACATCCTCCCATTCTTTTTTTAAAGATCCAATAAAGAGTTTTAAGAGGTTCTCTCTTAATTGAATTAACATCTAAAGAAGCTACATCTGCACTTTCAGTGTGTTCAGAATTATTAGCAGCTGTTATCCAGTGGGAAACGCATTCCTGGTCTGTTTTCTTCTGAGCATGGTCGGGGAACAATGATTCCAGGACTTGGCAAAGATCAGAGAAAATGGTTTTAGCCAAATTAAACTTCCTTTTTCAAGCTGTCCCGTACCACAACTAGGAAACTGAGTTCAATACCTGTGCCGTGCTCTGATCCCTCTTCAACTCTACCCTTTCTTTGGGTCTGGACACCTCTGTTAAATACAGTAGGGTCTAAGTTCATGTTATTATTAAAATTGGAGGGGAAGTCTACGGGTTCCAAGCATGCTGAATAACATAAACTGTTCATTTAAAGTATATTTCATTTTTGAAACCTTTCAGGCCACGTTTCAGTTGTTGGTAAACGGTCCAAACTATAAATGTCTCATGTTATCATATTTCATTTTGATGGATTTCTTTTTTGCTTGTTTGTTCTGTGAATTTGAAAAACACTTTTCCTTTTAAAGTGAAGCAACATCCAGAATTCTGTTCAAGGAACCACTGATGGTATATTCAAGCTTTAAAATATGACCCTTTTGTTGTGCAACTGTATACAAGTAAAAACCAGTATCTTTGGAATGATTACAGTAATAAGCATTATAACGGGTCTGGTAAATTCTAAAAAAGTTGTTTTTTTTCCCACAAATCATGTAACTCAGAAAGTAAATAATAAATACAGTCATCTTATATCTGACTGTCATCTGACTACATCTGATTGTGTTCCTTTGCTTACAGAGTAACATGCTCAACACGTTCATGGTTTCTCATTAATTTAAAATTACCTATTTCCTAAAATAAGTTTACACCGGCTCAATTCACTTTCTTTCAGGCCATACTGTACTTCACAGGCATGTAGTCTAGTCAGAAATTGATACGGCACACGAATGCTTATGGAATCTGCTAATCAAATTATTATAACACAGAAAGTAATTTAATATATTAAGACAATTGCACTTAAAATGTTCTGTGTGTCTTGTTACATTTTTGCTTCAGAACTACTCTTTACTATTATTTTTCTGTTACTTTAAATCCCCCGACACATGTTTCTAATTGTGAAATTGCCTGTTACTTTAATTCACACTCTGAATTGCTTCGCCGGTGCCACGTCACTGTTTTACTTCATAAGTTTTTTTTTCCCTTTTTTCTGTTTAACTGTGATTAATCTGTTGATGGGGGTGATACATATGGGAACAATTGCCAGCTTTAAGTGCAAAAGGTATGACTAGATGAGCCCCACTTTGTAATGCGTGCATTTAGGAAGAGAGCATTTGTGGAAAGTGACTTTGATTGCAGTCTTATTTGCAGGTCTGTGTAAACTTAGTAAAGCCCTTCCATCATTTGTGTCACATTTTATGTTCTTTAATCTTAATGCAGCATGTTGTTTCGTGTATGGAAAAACGGCCCTGCTTATTACCAAAGGCTGAATGTTCAGTAGAGCTCTTTTGCCTGTCAAAACGTTTTTACCCCACAGGAAGGTCTCAATACAAAACCAAGCAACATCTAGCTTTATTCTTAAAATGTCTGTTGGGTTGTCCTTATTATTTGGGTCACTTTCTTAAGTGTGCTTAAGCAGGCTGTAGAGAGCAATCCAAGATATGAGTGAACAAACCCTGCAGGTAATCACAGAGTAGCCTGAGTTTCTGTATAGCTTTTGCCACAGCATATCACTGCCGTTATCCTTTAATTCATAATGTCCCAAATAAATACAAAATATTACTTTCTTGGAAAATGCAGGTGAGTTACATTAACTCCAAACACTTTTATAGCGCAGAGTGGGGAAGGAATACATTGAGAGATTTTCAGAATAAAAAGCCATCATTTTCATTCTGCAGAGAATGTTTGCTATCTTTAATTTATGCATATATTTTGACGGTGAGTCCATCTGAATCTGGGAATGAGGAATACAAAAATCTCCAGATATGTTTTTAACAAATACTAAATAAAGAGCAGATCATCTAAAAGAGGCAGTCCACATCACACTCGCATTCAATTCTGCCTCTTTGACTTCTGGAATATGCCATTTGTCGTCATGGTTATTAATTTTTAACCAGCTTTGTAATTTCATGCTGTGAAACATACATTTAACTTGTTTTTGTGCCAGAATTTGGGGAGACTCTGAATCCAAATACAGGCTGCGCTGTGTCATGTTAGATTTTAATTGAACTCACTTCTGGCACATAGGATATTGTAACTTAAATTCTTTTGTTGTTCTTTGTGTATTTTCTTCTTCTTTTTTTTTTTTTTTTGCTCGAAACCTTCACATAATAGTGCTGCTTGCTGAAAGCCGTGGCACTGTGGGCCTGTGCTTTGTCATCAGCATTCACATCAGGGCTGTTTGCAAATGTGTTCTGTGGCATGTAAACATTGTAATCCATATTCTGCTTTGCTAACCTGCAATTAGTTTGCTGGGCCTCTGCGCTGGTACCTTGTGCTCTTTGGGGATTAGCCAACAGATATCAGTGGGAAGGGTGTCTTTGGCCATGACTTTTCATCGCTTAAGAATGGAGCCAGTGTTACAAGTACTGGGAATAAAAACTATTGTATTGAGGATGGGGGGTGATGGTGGGAGGGCTCATGGTATTTGCAGTAAAGCGTAAACTGAAAAAAAAATACTTTTAAAACTCAAGAAATCGTGTCTATTAAAAAGACACGATTTCTTTCATAGATCAAATGCACATTTCTAAACACACAACATTTGTTAAGGCGTAAATATTGTAAGGCTCTTTATTTTTTTCCATTGTAAAGTCTTTAGCAGGCTCCCAGTTCACTAATTTTGTACAGTATTTATTTTATACAGTTGTAGTGATAATTCTACAGATCCCTTTCTGTGGTATTTATAAAATTCCTTCATGTCAAATCAAAGAAGACATCTTTCTTTAATTCATTAAAAATGAATCGCTAATCTTACCATATTAAAACAGACAAAAATCAGGGGATTTGCATTTAAAAAATCTGGTTTCTGGTTAATCTTAAATTACAGTCTCAATCATCAGTTCCACTTTGTCCATCAGGATACACGTTTCTCTTTTGATTGGTTTGTTTGCTTAATCAAGGATGACATTTTCAACTGATGGGAAAAGGAAAAGTTTTTTAAATATCATCTTTTTTTTATTTTGATCTTTTTGAAAATGGGTCGGTTTTCCATTATTTGATTTGATTTTTTTCAACAGAAGCTCTGCGATTACACAAGACTTGCTGATCCGATGTTTTGTGAAATTTACAATAAAATTTACGGCATACACATCACAAAAATGTGATGTTTAGGAGAATATGGTAGGAGTCGTCGTACACATGGGTACATTTGTTATATATAAAAAACTCCCATGGGTCATGGAATTTGGCTTCTTCTCAATTTTTTTCAGCTTTTGCTTAAAATAAATCAAATAGAAATAAATTAAAACAATAGTGCAAGAAACACACTGGACTGGCAAGGGCTGTCCTATTTCTATATTTTTAACAAAAAGGCTGGGTTGTTACACTTTCTGCTTGGTTGCTGGATATAATGAAATTTTGCACTTGACCCAGAAACTGAGTGTCTCTGCACTGCATAATCAGTCCTACCACAAACACATGAAGCTCCATGGTTCTGATTAACAATGGCAAGAATGACAAGGTACATTGAAAACCATATTCCCAGTGTGCTGTTATTGTGAGCTCATATCATGATACTAATTTAGTTTAGTTTTTAAATATAAAACATTTATTAAATATGTATACCAGCCCTTATATCCTGAGCCAGGATGATGCCATTGTGAATTTGGGGGCTGCTCTGTGATGAAACACAGCAAACAAACACTGGCTTGGAATGAGCTATGTGTTCCAGTAAAGCCGTTCGACATTTTCTGATATTTGCATCAAGTGGGGAGGCGTCATGTGACATCTCAGGCAGTGCTGTCAAAGGCTTAGCTGGAATTACAAGGGGAGAAAAAAATGGCAGGTCCTAGAATTTTATCCCTAAAATGAAAAACTTGTGCCAAATCACAATTCCTGCAGGATCTCTTGATACTGTCAGGGGAATTAGGAAGCCCACAATTAAGCATATGGGCATTAAGATAATTGTCAGTTCTGTTGGCGGACATGATAGAAGACAGATGGATGTGAATCAGCGCACTCTGCTGAGGCACCCTGGGAGATAATTTTGTATTTTACCTGCCTGAGCAGCTCTGCCTTGTTTGTCAGTAGTAGAAGGTATTAAACTGAGGTAGTCTGTGTTCCATCATCTTTGAACAGGAGAATGCTGCCCTCTACTGTTGAACTCCAGCACTGCTTCATAGTGGGTTGCATCTGTTTTGGAAGCTGACTCTTAATACGCACTTCAAGTATTCATAACTCAGCGAGATGGAATTACAGAATGTCTTATCTATCTCTTGCTAATGAGCTGATAATATGCAGAGTTCTTTAACTGTACAATCTCTTGCATTGTGACATAGTTAAGCTTGTTTATGTATTTATTGCCGATTATTGTTTTTATTTCAGACCAGATGGAGTTTACCCTTAGACAGCAAGCTCATGCTATAATGAGAAAATGGCAGATATTGTTGCTTAACACCAGGTAGTTTTAAGGCATTTTATAGTTTCAAGAAGATCAGATTATGACATGAAGTCATGACTTGTTGGCCTTTAAAATATTTGCCTTTGTCTAATGAAAAACAAAACAGGCACATCCCTTCATGTGATTTATCTTGGTGCATTTTCAGAATGCTCTGATCACCTTGACAAATGATAAGATCAGTCTCCTCTGCTTAGACGAAGAATGGAGGTGTTGTTTGCGATGACCGTGTTGTGTCTTTATAGGTTGGAGCACACCGTGAGGATGGAGTGGGGTTGCGGGGCAGTCACTCAATTGTGCCTGTTTCCCAGCTCCCAGTACAGTCAGCAACATCACCAGATCTGAGCCAGCCACAGGATCCATACAGGGGTGAGTGGGGCTTCTCTGACATTCTGTCTGAGAGGATCTGCAGGCCTCCCTGAGGCAGTCATTGTTTCCCAAGTGTGTTGGTAAGACGGCAGTGCAAGCACAGGCAATCCTGAATGTTTCCCATGTAATTAATTACATTTGCTTTTATCAAAATGGTTAAAATTGTATATTGGAGTTTAGTAGAAAAACACATTTCTTTTACACGTTTGTGACCTATGGAAAAAAAAGGCTTTTTTCTTCAGGAACGTGTAAATAGGTCTCTCTCAGTACTGTACTTATGCGTTTCTATTTTTTTTAAAAAACGTTCCTTGGCAACATAATCTACAGAAGCCAAGCCAACAAGCTAATGAGTTGTTGAATAACATTAAAGAAATGTGGAAATGAATTAGCAATTGTACAGAATAATTCCTAAGCAAAAGAAAAGAGATTACAAGAGTGCCCATCCCATACATATAAATGGTATTTGTATAACATAATAGATTAAATGAAGCAGTGGGGTACAGTACCACTAAGTGGAAAAAAAACAAACAAACGTCAACTGAATGGTATTCTCATTTTGTTCATTTCCTCTCATTTTGAAAGGTGGTACCACATTGTGGCAATCAAAACTCTATTCATGAGCCCTGGAACATATTTATTGTATATTACTGCCATGTTGATTCAGTGCAGGATTAGTTATTTAAATAATCTATAGACTGTATGTCCCATCCCTGAAGTGAAGAGATAGATGTATCCCAAAAGCCTCCATTGCTTCCCAATTTTCATATTGTGTCAGTGAAACCTGAAGCACAGCACAGAGGACAGGGGGGTGTTGAGTTTGTTTCTGTTGTATAAGACTGCATAGGGAATACTGGAAAATTAAATCAGTGTCTGTGCAAGTTGAGCCCACACACAGTGCTGTTCTTTTGCTGTGGTTCAGCTGTTTTTTATGGCATTCGACTAAGTTTGCTGGAAACCTATTGTTGTTACTTTATTATTTTCAATCATTTAAAAAATGATACCCATTTGATAACATTTCACGAAACTTCACCAGAATCGGAGACATACGGTACGTTTTGTCTCAGTGAACATGAGGCTGAGTGAACATAGGCCACAGTGTGTGGATGCAATATTGGATATTTCACAGAATTTGAGAACATCTTCATACATTTTCTTCTCTGGTTCCAATGTATGTACTGGTGTGAGACTCAGTGTGCAGTGTCAGTGCAGGTCATGTGGTTTGGCTGCAGGCTTGGATTTGTCAAACATTTGAACAACCTCTTTGAAACCTCTTTTTGTTGATTGGAATGAAATTTGGTATTCATAAACAAATAGAGGTTCACTCTCAAGGCTCTTGTATTAAAAGCGCATGGTAATAACAGCTTGGTGAATTGCACACCATAACACTATCTGAGTACTGACGTTTCAGGCTTAGGAGCTTATCGTTCTAGGGTGAATAGAACCTACTTCTCCTGGACAAACCCCAGTGGCCACTTGACCACCATTTCGTTCTCAGAACTCAGATTACTGTCCTAAGCTGTACCAGCTAATTTAAAATCTGGAAAGTTTCATCATGCTTAAAGGTATGCCTGTTTCAGACTAAAGCCTTAAACATTTGAGTGAGACTTTATGAGTGAATGGGTCATAGGTCATCACCTGCTTGGGGGAAATCCATCCCTATTTTTAAAAACTGTGTAGCTAATAAAATTTCAACTTGACAGGCATCATTCAGACGTCAAAGCAATTGGCATATGTTGAAGTGGGGCATAAAACCATATGACTGAATGACAGCCATTTTGTTCTTAAAATTCAAACTAACATGGTTCTAGGAACCATTATACAGATTTACTTTGTCGTCCATCTTAGCAGCTTTTATCACTGCATAAACCTGCTTCAGACTTTTACCTTATTTCTTGTGATGGCTCTGGTTATGCCCACAATGAGTCATTATCTGCTTGACAAAACATGTCCCAGAACTATTCTTATTCAAAATCTGTTTTAACAATGAACTCCCTGCTTGGTAATGATCATGACAATGCAGTTTCACTGCATAGCAGAGCAGGATTCCCGCTTACACCAGGAAGGCCACCTGACCACCATTTTGTTCTTTTGTCATTACATGTCCTGGACAACAAACTGATTCTGTGTAAAAACTGTTCAGCCTGTTCAGTTCAAACTGGTTAGATATACTTCCCATGCCCGGAAGTGCTGTGGAATTGAAACATTTACACCTTACATGTTGGTTTGATACTTCTTCTGCCCGCAACGGGACATTTAGTGTAGTAGCCTTGCTATGTTATGTAATTTTAGCTTCTTTTGCGGTGCTTGAGACAATAAAACAACAAGCCTTGAGCATGTTGAGTTTGAAGGTGAAAATATATTGAAAAAAATCACACATTTATAAATTTGCCATGTGAAAAATGTCACACCGTTTTAATACTGTTCATGCATTTAGTGTATTTAAACAAGCACACGATTGTCTGAGACAAGGGAATGTGAAGCTTGTTTAATGGGAAACAGCTCGCTAAAAGAGTACACAGCTCACATTTTCACACGTTTGTTTATATGTGTAAGGCAACAGCTTTCTTGAGAACTAGTAAAACAGTGATTTTTGTTTTATTTTGACAGTAGCTTAGCGAGCTGAAACCAACCGTGAAAAAAGAGATAGTGTTCTCCAGCATAATAATGTAGGACCTTTCTTTGTATGGGTTTGGACAGCATGCTTCTTGGCCTCAGATTAAACCTATTGTACCCAAATCCAACCTCACTCCAAAGCTTATTTTCCTGTCTGAAGACCAATCAGCTGAATATATACAATTCCCAAGAGTTCTGACAGCACACACACATACAAATAAATCCCTTCTCACTAGTGGTTTGCACCACTGTTTGTTTTTAATTTTGTTTGACATTTTCCTGCTTGAGTAATAAAATTAAAAAAAATGTTACTCTGGCTAATCATCTCCACGATTCAGCATGTAGGATATCCCTCAGAATCACTCTAGATTACCTTTGTGAAGGATATCTTAAGAAAAATATCAAGCCAGTGATCACAGACATGCAAAACATTATGCATCGTCGTACTGTGTAGAATTGGAGAACAAAGGAATTTACTCAGTGGACTGAAAGTGACTTGGTGATGATGAGTGTATTTGTGTTTGATTTAGTAGACACACAAATCCACAAACCTTAAATCTATACTTAAAAGTATACTTTCAAAAAGAAAGACTGTTTTCATATAAAAGAAATATTCCTCCAAAGTTTATGCCCACCCTTTAAACGTATGCGAAAAGGGAAATTAAATATTTCCAGAAATCTGAAAAGTACAGCTGAACCTTTAATGCTCACTACCTGTTTGGTCCACTGGTAAGGAAACCAAGTGGTTAAAATAGCAACCAGCATCCTGATTTTTTGTTAAAAAAATCACGCATCCATCAAAATATTTCATGCAGCCGTCCAAATACAATGACGAGATATGAATAGACAGGTGGATCTTGTTTTTTAATGAAATTCTACAGCTCCAGTCTCAGAGATTCTGGTTTTCCTTCTACCTGCTCTCAGTGACCTAATTGAACTCATTATTTACTTACTCCAGCAACTTTAAGCCTTTCACTGTACTTAAGCAGCCGGAAATTTTACAGCGGTCTATACCACCTTTGAGGTCCTCCTCCACACTACAACATTCAGAACCCCCACACATACAGTGGTTTGTGGGCAGTGTGTGGATAGTGTTGTAACGTGTGAGGGAGGCCTCCCTGGTGACACTGCTTTCTTCCCCAGCCCTCTCCACGGGACTCCAGGGCCAGAGCACCTCTTCGGTGAGCTCCGAAATCAAATCCGAAGACGAGGGTGACGAAAACCTGCAGGACAGCAAGTCCCTGGATGAGAAGAAGATCGACGAGGACAAGAAGGACCTCAAGTCAATTACTAGGTCAAGATCTAGGTAACCGTAACCTGAGCGCTCGCTTCATTCAACTCCTTCGCTGGATTTTGATGAAGTGAACAATGTGCTTTGAGGGACAGCTAAATCAAAAACTTGGTAAACCCCACTTCCCACTTTAACCACATCGTTTCCATAACACACAAACACACGCAGGCTTCGTACTGGGTATTTAGAGCATATTCACAGCTCAGTGTCTGACAAGAATTCCGTTATGAATTATAGAACAGATGATCTCTGTTTCGCTCTTCTGTGCATTCTTCCTCTAAATTGATACATACCTGTACAGTACTTGAACTAATAAAGAAAATACCTGTTTGCGTATTTTTACTTTCAGATAACACCTTTAGGCAAAAAAAAATCTTTTGGACAAATAACTTAATTAAGTCCGCTTTGCATGCTAGAGAAATTCCCACACTCCAAATTGATTTTCATTTCAGATGGGTGGCAGTTTCTTACGGTATACCCATCGAGAATTGAACTTCCTCGCAGCCTTTCCTATCTCCCTGGGGTTACCACAGTCCTCCATGGTTTTGAGCCTGGTTTTAGCTGTCTTTCACACATGAGTGTAGGGAAATATGCCCAAATCGCAAAATGCACTCTGTGCAAAACATCCCAGGACAAACACCTTCTGACAGATTCTGTCCTGAAGGGGTTTATCACTTTCCACCTGGGATAACTAATTTGATCAATTTACGGCCTAATTTGAAAATGTTATAGCAATATCAGTGAAGGTCTTATGATTTTGAGTTTGGTCTCATAATAAGCTGTTAACATGGTGAATGGTGATTATCTCAAATGTAATATACTGTACTGGATAAATGCTACATTAGCCAAAAAGACAGTTGTAGGTGTAGGATTAGTCATATATTCCTGAATTTGCAACAAGAAAGTTAAAATATTTTCTTATACTGCCTCTATATATTCCTTGACAGGAGCTACAACAGATCAAGGAGAGGTTAGTTCCACTCAAAATCAAGGTGGAACGAAGGAAAGTAACAATGAAAAAGTAAACCGAAGGAAAAAACAAGATTTCTGCTTATAGTTTTTTTTTTCCTTTCCACTTTTCAATGTGGAATTAACCTCTACCTGTTCCTTTGCAACTCACACTGATGCAGCTCCCTATCATAGAGCATTATACATAGATGTTTTAACCATACTGTTTTTATTTAATACCTTCATTTGACTTTAATTAAAATATTAAAAAGAGTTAACCAATATCGTGTTAGTCTTGTTCACTCAAGAACAGTCAGAAAATGAAACAATTCTTGACATTCTTAAGAATTTTAATGTTCCCTAAATTCCATTGGTTAATTAATCCTAATGAAAATGATGAGGCATCTTTTTTTAAGTGCAAAGCATGGCGCAAGACGCTTCAACTTTCATATACTGAGCTGAGGGGCTTGAGAATACCAGTGACTCTGACCAGGGTCAGGCTACTGCAGCTACACGCCATTTCTGCCTGTTTAGTCTGAGTTGTAGAATCAGCACAACGGCGTACTGTCGTTTTGCGACCGGAACCCGTAACTGGGACGGTTTTCCCGCCAGCCGAAGGAGCGCGTGTCCTGTCTTGTCCCGCACCGTGCGCGACTGAAGTGGCGTTCCTCTCCCTCCCGTCTCCGCCCCGCAGCAATAACGACGACGAGGACCTGTCCCCGGAGCAGAAGGTCGAGCGGGAGAAGGAGAGGAGGATGGCCAACAACGCCCGGGAGCGGCTGCGCGTGCGCGACATCAACGAGGCCTTCAAGGAGCTGGGCCGCATGGTGCAGCTGCACCTGAAGAGCGACAAGCCGCAGACCAAGCTGCTCATCCTGCACCAGGCCGTGGCTGTCATCCTCAGCCTGGAGCAACAAGTCCGGGGTCAGCACGCACGCTCTCTCGCTCCTTCTCTTCCGCCTGGCGCGCGCTGTTCTCCGCCACTGCCCGGCCGGGGGACAGCGATGTCTTAATCGCGCGCGCTACGCAATGGGTTGGACACAAAAGTTCGATTTAAAGAAGTTCGGACCCACTACGCGAAAGCGCGTTTAAAAAACCTCGGACAGGTCCCTGTGTTTGCATAAGGGGGGGGGGTGAGAGCGTGGAACAGGCCACCCAGCCATGTTGTTGAGGCCGATACCTTGGTTTCTTTCCAGAAAATGGCTGGTTAATTAACTGTTAACTACAAAAACTGGTTAGATGGGTCAGATGGATTTCTCTTGTTCATAACCATTCTTATCTTCTTAATTCGAACAATGGAATTTGTTAAAAAAGAAATCGCCCCCCCCTCCATGGTCTGTTTCCGTTTTCGTTCCTCCCTCACCTTCATACATATTCCTCTAAAACTAAGCATCTTGCAAGTGTTACTCTGGCGGGATGGCAGTAAGGCAAAGCCAAAAGGAGCAAGGAGTTATTGTGTGTTTGTGTCCTCAGTCACTGGCTTCTTGGTGATTGAAAAAGAACCTGTGCACATTTCTGCATTTTCCGTAAGAGTTTGGAAGTTTTTGTAAGGTTTTACAGTTAATATGGAATTTTCTGATGGGCGATCGGTGCTCCCCCTTCCTGCAAGACGGTAACATATGAAAGGTTATTTGAAAGACGCAGTTGCAAATAAGGATGGAAAGTCTTCAAAACGAGGGAAAAAAAACAAAGCTCATATTTTGGAAATTGAGGCTCATAACTACATGGTAATGTCCAGTTGTCTCCACTAGGTGGCACTATGCTATAAACATTTACACTACTCGGCTCCAACGTGAAAACGGAGACTGACATTAATATGAGCAATATACTGAAGGAAATGAAGAATATGGTTACCTCTCTGGGGATATTACTCAATGGGAACAAGCTGTTTTGAATTATGAATTATCATATAATTCCCTGGGTTAGGATAGTGACAAATAAGACAGCACAATCCCCTTTATTGGTTATCATTCTGTTTTAAGGAATTTACATATAATTCTAGGGAGTTTTTTCTGTATCCTTTCCTGGAGTTTGCACTGATCTTCCCAGGTTCCGGGGGCGGTCTTGATCATCCAGAACGGTTATGATCAGAGCAAAGAGAATCCCCTCAGTAGCGTAGGGTGTCTTTTAAGAAAGAGGGTACAAGAACAGGCAAGGCGTCTCCAGCTGTTAAACATGACTCAGCTGGCCGGGGCCGACTGGGGTATTTTTCATCCTTGATTGCGCAGAGCGAGCTCTCGGCTGAGGAGTGCTTGTTGTGTCTGCCCGCAGAGAGGAACCTGAACCCCAAGGCAGCCTGTCTGAAGAGACGGGAGGAGGAGAAGGTTTCGTCCGACGGACCTCCGCTCTCCCTCGCAGGAGCACACCACAGCATGGGGGACGCCTCCAATCCCATGGGACAAATGTAAAAAGAAAACCATAAAATGGTCAGAATACTTCACCTTAAACTAATCTGCTGTTTCACATTTGTACCATGAATAGCTAGTCCAAGAGCAAAAAAAGGAAAAACAAACAAAAAAAAGAAATCTCTGCACAGTGATTTAGTTTCACTACTGCATTGCATACAGTACAGTCGATGGATGGTTTTTAATACGCTTCCCAGACGTATGCATGCTGAAGCAGGATACAAGATAAAAAGTAGTTAAAAGGGGACAAGACTGTACCATGCAGATCTCCTGTGCTTACAGCCCTGTCAGTCTGTTCTGATAATCTCACTTGAACAAATTGGATACCATCTCCAGTTAAAAATGCAGTTTGCTGAAAATATTGTTAATAGCAGCCATGGGGATGAACATACTGCACACCCCCTTCAGTTGCTCCATTATGTTTTTTCATCGGGTACATTTTAACAACAGATTGGCAGTAAGTGTGTGTTTAATGTGTGTGTTTGACAAATTTTGCGATTCTGCACTGTACTGGATGTTTAGTATGGGCATTGTGGAACTGTGTCTGTTGGTATTATTGACTGACGCAGGATAAGGGTGATCCGTAACGTCTTTTCAGTACCTCATTAATCCCCCCCACCCTGATTGTGGGATTTGTTTTCTAACAGGACTAAGACAGAAACTACAAAAAGTCACTAGGCAGTCTTAATAACACTCTCCAGCAGGGTTTTATTGTGATTAGTCCAACAGGATAATGTCATGTTTTACTTCAGGTTTTTTCTTTTAACTATAATGTCACATACACTGTGTTCTAGCTGTAAATGTTGGAGGGGACATTGAGAGGTCACGTTTAAAAGGGCATTAAAAATAAATATATAGAACTTTACGTTTTTTTCCCTCAATCTAATGATCTATTCTGAGATTTCCTTCAGGGTAAAGTTAAAGTGAGAGATATTCAGTGTGTATCTGTTTTTCTGGGTGGATTTACTAATCCACTAAATATTCCAGATTGTTTTGTTGTTATGCAGTTTTTCAAATACATAAGATTAATCACAAATTAAAGTGCTGAAGAATTTTGCCTTGAACATATTTTACATTTCTTAATTATGTAGAGTCCTGATTTATCATGGAGGTACAAGTACAAAACCAGTTCCCATATTTGAATGTGTTGACAAAATCTGGCATGTTCAAACGTTTGAATTGTGTACATGTACATCTCCTCTAAAAGTATTATAAATCTTATATGAAGCCAATGTTTTAGGCGGATTTTTATTTTACTGAAGTAAAATAAAAAGTAGAAGAAAAGAACTATCTTACTTCAGAGAAAAGGGGACATGAACATAAATACACAAAAAGTTTTGGTTGCTAGCAATCCACTCTTAATATGAATCATACAGTCTCTACAACAAAAGCAGCCCTATCATGAAATGCCTTTCTAGAATAAATACTTCTGGAATTTCCAAGAATCAGATCAATGCATGGCAAGCTGTTCTTGAAGGCTACATGTTTTAATTTGATCTGCAGTTGTTTCTGTTTTTAATTGTTGTAAAGCATCCTTCATATCAGTGACATATTGTGCCTCATTTATTTGTATTGAATTACAATAGACTGACTCATGGGCCAGAATCAACATTCTTACTACATATTACCTTTTTCTTCCACAGGTCCAAGTTGCCGGAGTTCTTCAAAATGATGAGCGACCAGTTCCTTTGACAGCGTTATCCTTATCCCACCACTCAACCAACCAACACTTTTTCCCACCCCCTTCTTGTGTATAGTAGAGATGAACGAAAGTAGCTTAGAAACACAGACACAAGAGATTTCTCAGCATTCCCGATTTCTAGAAAAAAAAAAAGAGGAAAAAAGTGCAACTTGATGAACGACTCTCTAAACATATCATTAGGAATGTTCTAACAACGTTGCAAGCTGTTGAGTGCAGCCTTCAGACTGAATGGCAATCTTATCCACACTGTGGAACAATGCAGTTGTGCCTGAACTTCTTTTGGAATAAAAAAAAAAACAGTATATAATCAATTTGTAGGTATCGAGGGAAAAAAGGAGAAGATATTTAATTTAAGAAATTGTAAAACTTGCAATAATGAAAAAAGTGTACTTCTAAATAGAAAAGATAAAAACAATTTGTTGGTGTTCTAGTTGGCTAGTGTTTCTATATACTGGAGAAGAAGGGAAAGCATTGCTGCCCCTATAGCTACTTAAACCAGCAAATGTCCTGATTATGACTTTAGTGATATCATTAGCCATTCCTTTGCATGGGAAGAGCAGATGGATCTTACGAGCACAGGGGAAGCAGTCGGTAGTGTACTGAATGTTGTTTATTTGCTGGGTCGTTGCTGTCTTGCTGTCAGAAAAGGGAATGAACTTGGTTTGCAGGATTTAGCAAGGTCGTTTTGATTTGTCTGTTTTTTTCTTTCTTGAACGTTTGAGTCTAAAACCAGCTTTGTGGCAGAGTACAGTGTAGAATCACAGTGTGGTTTTTTTCTCGACCAGTGAAATGCCCAGAGTACCTTTTCCACAAGGCAACGCTGTACCCACGGTATTGAGAGAGACAGCAGCTGTGGGGCCTAAGAGTCCATCGTGTTGCTTTTATAGTCTTACCCAGGTTCTGCCCCAGCCCTCTCTCCCCTGACCCACCCTCCTTAACCCCAGAGATGCAATGTTAACATGCTACAGTTTTACCAATGTGCCTTTTAGAGTTCATATCATTAAGAGTAAGAGGAGGACATTATCTGAACTTTTTAGGATGCAAGCTTAGGGAACTTGTTAGTCATTAGGTCTATGCAGTCAGGTTTTTTATAACCTGGAATTAAAAAAAAGTATTTTTTGGATAAACTGTATTTAATGTACTGTATGCTTACATGTAATTTAGAAGGCGTGTTCCTGAACGACCCTGTTTTGAGTAAATTACTCCCCAAGTTCCAAGCCCGTTTTCATAGCGAGAGACACGTCTGTAACTGAGCGTTGTATTATAGCTATAAGCTTTTATGAGTAAATGGCTTTTTCAAGAGCCGCTGTAGTCTTCAGTACAGTATGTGGTTGTATGTGTAGAACTGATTTTATTTTCTCGTTTTTTTAAAACAAATCTGCGTCTCTAATGGTTTCTTTGTTAAAACCCAACTGCGGAACGCTGAAGCAGAGACAACAGCAGTGTTCACGTGGTTTAACTTATCCAATCAACATAGGCACTGAAACTGGAAAATATATATAAATACATATACGGTAAATATGGAAGGTGCCATTTCTAAAGGAGAAAGAGATTTGGGATTTGTGTGGTTTCATTAAGATGGGGTGAAACACACGAAAGCACCTCAGTGTAACCTTTCTAAAGACATGGCTTGTGTTGCCCACTGAAGTGCCACAGAAGGAAGTGTTGACTCTCTGTGACATCTCATCAACTAGAGACCATCATCCACAAGACAAAAGGGACCGGAGTTCCATCTGCTCTACTTAATGCTAATTAGCTGTTAAGGAAACACAGACATTTGTAAATTGTATGCAACAAATGCAAACTTACCATTATTTTGAAATTGTGTATGTAAAAGTTATATTTTTACATGTAGACTCTTGTTATTTTGTGTTTAGAATACGTTGTATCAGTTTTTGTTAAAAAACTTTGAATTCAGTGTGTGTTGAAAATGTGTCACATTGAAAATGTAGTGAGGTTCAAGCTTCAGAATTTGTTTTTTTTATTTTATGTTTATATTTTGGGGAACATTTTTTTTCTGAGGGGGGGGAACAGAGAACAAAATAAGGTATTTAAAATTTTTGTCATGCTCCATGCTCATCTACATTGCCATTTTAATTGTATTTGGAGAGAAGGAAATGTGTATATAGTCATCAGAAATGGGAACATGTGAATTTTGCTTGGGGAGGACTGGTTAACACAAGAGATGTGGAGGTGGATCAGTTGCATTATATCCATTTCATTTTAATTGCTCACTGAAGTGCCAGCATAAGTAAAAAAAACAGCATTAATATATTGTTAAGGCTGACAGCAAATATTTTTCCTGTTATGATGCGTGGCTGTCTTTGCGAAAATGACCAAGTATGTCCAGTACTTTTCTGGTAATTCATTTTCACATTATGATTTTAATTTCATGTAAAATGAATTGGAACCATTAGAGGCCTAAATGCCTATAAATAATTAATGCAAATCTATTGTCTATGACGAGTTTTAATGAAGCTCATTTTTCTTTTGCAATAAAGGTTATTGTTTTTCGCTGTAATTATCTCATGTCAGATGCAGGTCTTCAAAAGCTTTCTTGTCAGTTTTGTGCTCCCCAGTGCTCCTGGAATGAGCATTGAAGTATGTAAGCAAAAGAACAGGTTCTAGTGTAATGTGTCTGTATTGCAACCCAGCAAGAGATTGTTGGAGCCTAACCTACTTGTGCTTGATGGACAAGTGTTTAGTCGAATGCTTTCTTGGTATGGCTTAAAGGGTGGGTGTCTGATGAATACAAGATAAGGGCATTTCTTTTATTCGTTTGTTTTTACATCGCGAGCCTAAGCTTGTAAAAAAAAAAAACCTTTTCAACTATTGTTTAAAAGTCACTGACACGGCTGAGGAATGAAGGGACAAGTATTTTTCTGCAACTCCCTGTTAAACAGCTAAAGTTGTCTTAGCAGAAGCAAGTACTGAATTTATTTCTTATGTTTAGAGCACTTAAGTATATGTAGAAGAGATCCCTCTATTTCAGTGCAAAGAATAAATGGGTGAGCTCAGAAATAATCTATGTGTGTGAAATAGAAAGGTTCCAATTTGATTTATAGTTTTTGCTGTTGAGTTGTTCTCATTATATTTTGTTTGGTTATTTTGCTAACTATGAACAAAACACAAGCTTGACCGCCCACCTCTAAGAGATTTGTTTTCTGTGTATAATGTCCAATATTTGATGCATCAGATACACATACAAGCAACAAGTGACAGGTGATATTCACTTTGTATCGTATTCTAAAAGAGCACTAAACATTTAACCACACAAGGGGGTGAAAAAACGCTTTTTAATCACAAGGTTGATAGCTGCTTAGCTGCTCAAACAACTCTTGTGCTGTAAGACCCAGGACTAAAGAATATGGTATGTGTTTCATATTAATGTAATGCCAGTTTAACACTTATTGCTGAAACTTGACAAGGTACAAAAGCATAGTAACATGACTTTACTCGAGCTAAGGCTACATTTTCTGAACAGGGATGAGATCAATAATTTGTATCCACTGCCAATGTTGTCCTAACTTCAGTCAACGGCAGCCATATTGGTTGTGACACAGTTCTCAAAGCAGGAGAGGGCAACTGCAAATGAACTGATCCACCTCCACTTTTAAAAGATAAAACACTCCTGACGTTTAATTTAAAAATAAATATTCTAAGTTTGGGAGAGGGGGGACTGAGGGTTCCATTTGTCTTCAATGTAGCTACAATGAACACTAAGGCCTATGAACTGTCAAATCAAAATTAAGGATGCAATTTTTACTGATCCAGTCTTCCGTTTTGTTTCTTTTTTTTATTGGAGTTTTTGTTTCCTTGCATTTTTTAAAATTGAGGGTGGGGGTGACGGAACCCCTGTTCTATCTTTCAAGAGGCTAAACTGACAATGATGAAAATGAGAAAGAATAACTTTCTGTCACTGTTTGAAATGAATCTTGAACAAGCACAAAATTGATTCAAGTGGCTGACTGGAAATGCTAATATATATGTATAAATTACATAGAATAATAAAATAAGCAGGAGGCACCAAGGCTTATAGGCCAACTACTTCAATTTGGGTAGACTTTTTGTTTTTCATGCGTTTTTAATTCATCTTTGTGCAGTGCTGGTTTGACCATGTTCATTTCAGAGTATTATAGACATATGTAATGGTGAAAATATATGAACTGTGGCCTTTTCCATTCTTCTTGTTACTTGTGATGCAATTAAGTGAAGAAAAAAAATAAGCAGAGAGTTACCATGTATCAGTGCCTGGCTTTTTGTTATAAAGCTTCCTTTGTCTTTGCTCTTTTGCTATAAAATAGACTAGTGCACCCTATTACAAAAAAAGAAAAAAAAACAAAACTAAAAATTAAATATATTTGGCTTATTTTTCGCAGGGGCAATCCTTTTATACCAGGAATATTGAAAAAAAAAGAAAAAATGTCAGATTCTGAATATTCCTCTTTGTAGATTTTTGGAATCATTCGAAGTAAAAGTTTGTTACTTTATTTTACTATTTAAAGATGTTATTTTACCATGTGTTACTGAGACGAAACTGTATGGTGTTTTCAGTGATCGACCGCAGACTGGAGTGTGCAGCTTCACGCGTACCTGCAGCAGTGAAAAAATAAAAACAGTTACACTTTCTTTCCAATGTGTGGCTGAGTGCCTCAACTTTTTTTCCATGTTTTTTGGTGTATTTTTAAAGTTTTTTATTTTTATTTTGTTTTTTTTATTATTATTATTATTATTTTGTTTTGTTGTATTTTTATTTTTGATTAGTAGACGTGTCCAAACAGGTTGTGTGCTGGAGTTTCTCTTCAAACCAGCTCATTGTAGGCCATCGCCTGTTGTTTTTCATCTGTAGTTATTCAATGAAGTCATGTACATGACCGTTCTGTAGCAATAAATGTGCCATTTTTATAACCTAGTGCTTTCATGTGCCTTGTTTCTTTTATCCTCTGTGAACAGCCTTTCTTAATATACTGTAAGGTTCTTTATGTCAGCTTACAGGTTTTGCAGTAAATTGTTGCTAAAGAGCACACGGCCCAATAATTTCCTTCACCTTATTTTCCATTTTTAAGCGACTGTCATTGAGAATACCATTTAAGCAATTTAAAATATCTGTTCACAAATACCTTACAAAAGCACAAATACCTTATTGCAAGCAGACTGCAATGCTCGTCAACATATTTCTATCTGCTCCCTAGATTTCAACATGCACAACTTCACAAACAAAATTCTAAATGATATGTGAGCTAAGCACAATTATTGAACTAATGCTCCATTAGAAATCAATTTCTTGAAAACCATCCAAAATGTGTATTCCTTTAAAGTAATGTAAATTAAAAGCAAGCAACTTCATTTAACGTAAGAATGAATCAGGGCACTGAGACCACTGGCAAACAATTATCACATTTCTTTCTTTGAAACAAAATTAGAAATCCTCATTATGAAATAGCGATGGTCAAAATAATAATCATTTGCATTTCTTAATGTTACTACAATTTTATTATATAACGGTAACACACAGTTCTTACCTTCAAAGTGTTGGAATCTCTGTGCCAACTGCGACATCCAAGTCTATTTCAGTGTCTGCTTCCAATGGCAGCCGGGACAGAAAAAGTACTTCATATATGTTGAACCGAAAGCTGAAGGAAGTTTATGGCAATTTCCTCCAGACCTTTGAATTTCTTCCTTGTCCCATCCAAAAGTCGGTAAATCATCTCCCATTGAAAGCAGATTGAAGTGATCGGTGAGTGATAATGTATAAGTATTAATAAAGAAGAAAACCACAGACATTGCCTATAAGGCGAGCAATGTGATGTGTATACAGTATATGTGGTCTACATGTGGTAAAGGCACATTTGGCAGCAATTACAGTAGTCTTTTCAGATCATTTCTTACCACCCTGCAACCTGCAATGGTGCAATCACCACCAGCCCCTCTAATCGTGCTCAAATTATGTCAAGTTGATCGGGCAGAAATGTTCAGATCCTTCACATTTTCCGTCTTCTTTAAATAAGGCCTTTTTGTTTGTCAGGTCTTTGTCTTTTTGAAAGGTGATTTTTTGGTACCAATTTTAGTTTTTTTTTAACAGGCTGAAGCCGGATTTACCCTAAGATTTGCCTGTCACTTGTTCTTTTTTTCCCCTCTGTCTTTTTTTGCTGGCTTTTTACCAGATGCAAAGCTTTGTTCCAATTACATATGTCTTGCACGACCACAAAACCTTTTTGTCACTTAAATGCTTCGTTGCAAACTGCATTAAGGGTTTGAGACAGTAATAGTGTTGGTCTCTGTACTCTAGCATATAGGCCAGCTTTATGGAGTGACTGGGATACTGTTGAGGCATGGATATTTTCTCCCTTATCGGCCACTGAACTATTTAGCTTTTTCGAGTTCCCTCAAGGTGGTGTCCCTAAACAGTTTCCTCCTTCCCTGGCTGCCCAGTTTAGGTAGAATTTGGAGTATCCTCTTAATGGTGAGCTTCACTTTGCTCAAAGGAATATTCATTGTCTTTATTTTGAATATGATCTGAGCCTTTCCATAAATTTTGTTGTTGTGAAAGCTCATTGGTTTTTGTGGTTGAATATTTACTAGAAATTCATTTCCTGACAGAGTGACCTAACAGATACAGGTGCATTTATTCTGAAATCATGTAAACCACTATTATTTTTACGCACTGTTAGCAGAGTAATTGAGGTTTGCCATAGTGAAAGAGGTGAATACATAGGCAATCTAAATATTTTCTTTGAGACTTTTCATTGCAAGTTTCGCTGACCTTTAACTTTCACCCATAAAAGTGTTTAGTCTGAACGTGGAAGCTGTGATTAAAATGTATACATCATTTTTAATTAAAACAGGACATTGATTTGGAAGAAGCTGAATACTTTTGCAAAACTATGACAGACTGGTGAAGCTAGGCAACATTATTGAAGTTCAAACTAGGGAATCCTTAAAGATGTGAGTAGATGATGGAAACAATTAGATAAAATTGTATTATCAGAAAAACAAAGAGGTTATCACTCATTTGCAGCCATCCTTATATGTTTTGATTCTCATTTCAACCAATTGCCTTTGTAATTCAGGCTTTTGGGTTATGAAAATGTTCTTAAATTGATTTTAAGAGCATCTTGCATTATTATTATTATTATTATTATTATTATTATTATTATTATTATTATTATTATTATTATTATTGTTGTTGTTGTTGTTGTTGTTATTATTATAATTGTGTTCTCTCTCCTCTAGATCACATCATGTAGTGTTTTAGGTGGAAAACAAACAGGAACATATTGGATCCGGACATGAACCAATCATTATTTACTCATAAGGATGAAGAAGATACTAAATGCCACACAGTGCAAAAAATAAGAGATGGGAAATTATTTATGGAAGTTTATTGCAACACCACTATGAACACATTAATGATAATAAATGTTAAGAATACAGACAGCTGAGTATATTCATCTATGAGAGGCTGATGTCCAAGCTTGTTAATATTTTAGATTTCTGTGTCCTAACAAAGTATTGTGCTTTCTGTAAATAGACCATTTTAATTAAGTATTGCTAAACATAACAATAGAAGGTCAAAAGAATAAAACATCTGGTGTGATTAACATAGTCCCGTTAACTGTGAAAGAAGTTACCAGTTCCATGGAATTTCATTCCTTAGGTATAGGTATCCTCCATGTTGAATGCAATGAGCAGTCTCAGACAACAGTAAACTTTTTTTGTATTTTTCTTATGAGATCCACCCATTTTGAGATTGTTACTAGCTTTGTTACATCCCTGCTCAGAGCGATGATTCTTACACAGCATGGGCACTCCTTCTCCTCTGACCAGCCCTCCTATCAAGCCACTCATCTTTTGGCACAAGATAAGCTGCACAGTGTGTAAAGGAGGGTGAGTACAACTTGGAGGACCAACACAGTAGTAGCTGCTACATTACTTTGCTGAAAGAGTCCTGGGCAGCCAATCACAGCCTAATTGAGTCCGGCTACTCCTTGAGGAATCTTGATTGCGACTATCTAGTGACCTTACCTTGACTCAAAACCAGGCTGGGATACAAGACTTCAGCCCCTTTTCAGAGTAAGTGAGCTCCTTTACTTCTAAACCCCATTGTGAGCCCCAAAACAGGCGTACATTGATTGGCTTGTTTATGGATAAAAACCAAAAGATTCAAAAAGATACAAAAGAACCAAAAGATGAGCCAAGTTCAATTTTCATTTATCCCAACTTTCACTTTTAAGCAATGTCAGGCCATTACTGCTTTAATGTTGCCATTATTTAATACTGGTTAGAACTTAAACTAGTTCCTTACATCCATCTATTTTCTAATCACTTCATCCAAGACCAGACCAGCCTGGATAGAATGCCAGTCTATCACAGAGGGCACATAAATTAGGTACAGACAATTACACACACACCAGGACTGATTTTCTCTAAAGCCAATTAACCTACCAGTACATTTTTGGACTGTGGGATAAAACTGGAGCACCGTGAGGGTAACCCATGTGAACACAAGGCAAACATACAAACTCCTTGATCTTTAAGGATCTTAGCACTGCAAGACAGCAATGTTAACCCCTGCACCTCCGTGCTGCCCTAAATGAGTTCCACAAAGTGCAAAAAATATATTTAAAAAATGACTCTTTTAATATGATGGTAAGATAAGTATGGAGGCAGTGTGTCATCGTTGGTAAAAGCAGATATGGAGTACTGAGCCCTGCCCACTGCTTCCCTACCATATCCATCATCTCCAGAAGCTAATTCAAAATGCCGGGGCACATAGTTCACATACTGTATAGCTTACCAAAGCCAACTTCTGGAAATGATGCAGAACATACAAAACAAGGAGCAATTAAAACTGCTTTATATCGTATCTAATGCAGCCTGCTGTACATTTCAAGGGTACACAGACACATTCTTCAAAAATGTTTTATTGGATGACAAAGGTAACAAAGAATCTTTTGTGAGGTGTGGATTTATTTCAACATGAGGCTGTGTGAGCGCAACACCTTTCCACCTTTCACCGATCCACCCTCCAGTCAGAGTACTTTTGCCTGCAGGTGTGAGCAGCTTAGCTCTTCAGTCAGGAATTTGAAATACAGGGCGGGGGACTCCAATTGAGAAACAAGTTCCCGCCAGTCAGGATGGGCTGCCAACACAGTTCACAGCAGTGTTTTTCTTTGCTGTCTGGCATGATTATCACAACAAAGAAGGAAGCCGATGAATCACCATTGCCAATGTTATCCGTATTTTTTTTCCTGTCAGTTTCATTCTGACATTCCTATAGAGTTATGTGTATTCTTAAACTGAGCCGATCCATGGTTTTACTGTAAGTCTGTAGATCTTTTTTTGATATTTCCACCTTTCTTGGGCAAAACCCTTTAGAAATGAGGTGGATTGTGTTGGGCGAGGTGCTGGCAGGACCTTACAATATGTAAATTTCCTGATTGGATTTGATGTAGGTGTAAAAGTTGTTTTGGTTTCCCTTTTTTGCATAAAACTGCGACTGGATGAGTTTTTTAATCAACGGAGAGTTAAACATTGTTCAAAACACAAATCCTAGGTATAATTATTAAAAATGTACTTGTAAAAAACTGTGAAGACTGAACAGGTCAGTGAATAATTTAAAGCAATTATTGATTACTGTATTTCCAATTATTAATTGTTGCTTTTGTTTATGAAGAATGTACTCGGATGTATTGAATTCTTCCTTAACTAAAATCAGCAGTTTCATTTGCTGCAATTAAAACCTGATTTGGATACGATTTCAGACTTTGGCTGGAAACCTTTCACACAGTGGAGAATGAGGAAGTGTAAGCAGAACTCTCAGACCTGACCATCTTCAAGCCACTTAACACACATCACAGGCAAAACTGCACTGGAGGCTCAGTTCTGCCTGAGATCCACCGTTCACCTTCA